GGTGTGGCTCGGTGGCGGAGCATCAACCCATGTGCCAAGAGGTCAGGGCACAGGCCCGGGTTCAGGCTCGGTCCCCAGCTGGGGGCAGGCAGGAGGTAGCCGATCCGTGTTGATGTTTCTCTCTCACGGATGTTTCTCTCTCTCTCTCCCTCTCCCTCTTCTCTCTCTAAAATCAATAGAAAACATTAATTTTTTAAAAAATTCTCGAGCAACACCCATCCCGACAGGTGCTGAGTCCTGGCTTAGCCCGCAGCCGCAGGCAACACGGGCTTCCTGGCGTAGAGACACGCGCCCTAAGTCACCAAGTACAGACAGTCGTTTCTCCCTGAGGAGCAGGCCCTCCAGGCCGGAGGCAGGTCAGAGGGCGGATGAGCCGTGCAGGTGGCCTGGCCCTCGGGGCGCTGGCAAGGAGCGTGAGGAGCGCTCACGGGACGGGAGCCCCACAGGGTGTCACAGGCTGCCCGTCAGCGCAGGCACCAGGGCTCCTGTTAGCAGGAGGACCGCTGGGAGGGCAGGTGAGGTCTGGCTGCTTTAAGACCTGAGGATGCCTGCTGGCCGTGACCTAGCTCACGTGTCAGAGCTGTAAATGCTCTCACACACACACACACATGCACACATTCTCTCATACTCACACACACACACTCATGCTCTCAAACACACACACACTCCTCTTATGCACACACGCACACACATGCAGGCACACTCTCATGCACGCACATACTTTCTCATGCTCACACAAGCACACCCTCATGCACACACACACGCACACATACACACACTCATGCACACACACTCTCTCATGCTCACACACACACGCACACTCTCATGCACACACACACTCTCATGCACACTCTCATGCTCACACACACACGCACACATACACACTCTCATGCACACACATTCTCTCATGCACACACACACTCATGCACACACACTCTCTCTCATGCACATGCACACTCTCTCATGCACACACACACGCTCACACACACACTCTCTCTCATGTGCACACACATGTTCACATGCCCGTGATGTGCCCTGAGGGTGCATGTATGTGCTCTGCAGCTTCACCCAGGAAAGCTCAGCTCCTTCCTGAAGACGGAAGAAATCCGGGCCCGTCATTGATCAGCAGGGCCCCTCCCCTCCTGTGCCTGGTGAACAGTGATCAACCTGGAGGGCTGCTGCTGGGCACACGCAGTCGGACCACCTGGCTGCCCTGGGGAAAGGAGTGACAGATCCCCCAGCAGCTCCCTGTGGCCAGGGACCCTGGGCTGGGTGTAGGCCGGGAGCCTCCCTGTCACTGTGTGGTCAGAGGAGGGCGAGGGCCTGGAAGGGGACCTGCTCAACCAAGGCCAAGAGCCAAGGCCAACCATGGCACCTTCTTCTGCAGGAAACACCGATTGTAGGCAAATGTGACCAGGAGTGGCAGTGCTC